GGAGGAGGAGGAGGAGGAGGAGGAGGAGGAGGAGGAGGAGGAGGAGGGAGGGGGGAGGAGAGGAGGAGGATAAGGAAGAGGAGGAGGAGGAGGAGGAGGAGGAGAGGAGGAGGGAGAGGAGGAGAGAGAGGAGGGAGGAGGAGGAGAGAGCGGAGGAGGAGGAGGAGAAGGAAGAGGAGGAGGAGGAGGAGAAGGAAGAGGAGGAGGAGGAGGAGTTCGGAGGAGGAGGAGGAGGAGGAGGAGGAGGAGGAGGAGGGGGGAGAGGGAAAAGCGCTAACCTTGGCACAGTGGCGCCGCCTGAACCAGCCCCTCCCCTCGCCTTGCAACCTGGGTTGCTTCGGGTCATGGCGCGTCCCTGCGGCCGCGGTTCGGCACGCCGCTGCCTGAGAGCACCTCGCGGCTGGAAAGCCGCCGAGATCAGACGACGACGCCCGAGAAACCTCGAGCCTCGAGCCCGATCCTCCGCATCTCGGGGGCGTCCGGAGGGGGGGGCGTCCAAGAGGGGGCGTCGGCGAATCAGAGCACGAGGCACGTGCGCGGACGACGGCGGGCCAGCGAGCGTGCTGAAAAAGGACAAGGGGGCCGCGAAATCAGAGAGATCTATCATGGCCGCGGCCATGATTTCCACGCCCCCTTTTGTCTTGGAGGCAGCTGCGGCGTCTGAGTCATGTAAAGAAAGGGGGGGTGAGGCCAAATCCGCTCAAGAACGCTTCCCAAACCCATTGGCGGGTCCATCTGGTGCTGTTTTTCACCCGAGATCCGATCTTTGACGGCCTTGGAATCTGGAAACGGCCCCCAGAAGCCTCTCCCGAATCCGAGCCGCCTCGCACCCAGAACCTCGACCCTGCCCGCCTCTCCTGCTGGTCGGAAGCAGTGCACCTCAGACACCCACGGCTCCAACCTCGAGCTTCGAACATCGAGCCAGATCCCCCGCCGACCCAAAGACCCGATGTCGCGTTTTGTTTGATACGGGCCCCCCCGAAGTCTCGACCCGCTTCCGAAGACCAGCTCTTCTTCCTGACCCCATGGCGCGGCGAGGGCCTCTCGAAGTCGAAAACAACGATGAACCTCTGGTATATCATTTTCAATATAGGGGGAAACGAACTCTATAAACCGACGTTTTCTCCGACCCGGCGCTGAAAGTCGCACAGGATCCTGGTGTATACGGGACCCTGGTGTATACATTTTTCGTTTTCCTCCTTGGGAAACGGGGAAAAGTACACACCACACCACTCCGACGTCGCCCCCGACCCTCCAAAAGTCGTGGGACCGAAACAGCAACCCGCCACTGGTAATGTATATGTTCCAGTCTCCGACAGTGCGTCGGATCTCTGGGACCGTCTCCTCCGCCTCGGCCCGGGGCGGGGCCTGCAGCGGCCAGACGTAGCTCCCGACGTCGATGAACGACGTGAGGACGCCTCGGGCCGCGGCGGGCACCGCCGGGCGGCAAGCGCTGCGGACGACGACAACGACGACGACGGGCCATTGTGAAATCGTGGATGTGAAGGACACCGAGGACGGGAGAATATGTGAAAGCGTGGAAGAACATTTTGTATCGCAGCGCTTGCGTTCGGACGGAAGCGTCGCGGAAGCACTGGGGCCGGTTTTTTGGGCTTCTCGGGGGGGGGGTCTTGGAGGCAGCTTGGAGGCCTCTAGAGGGCGCCTTGGATGCATTTTATGGGACTCTTGGGGGCCTTTATGTGACCACCTACCAAACCACCCCAACCCAACCCGAAGACCCGAATTTGACCCGAAGTTCGGGTTGGGGGGGGTACGGATACCATGTGTTTTTTCAACGTTCCCCGACCCCCCCCCACTGGAAATGGAAGGCAAATTGAGGTCTTCGGGTTGGGTTGGGGTGGTTTGGTGGGTGGTGATTATGGGGGTTTCAGGGCCCCTCTTGCCAAGGCGAGCGTGTCGAGGTTCCGTGGTGCCGTCGCCGCCACGGTCGGCGGGGGCGCGTTCTCCGAGGGCTCCACCGCGATAAGCCGCTGGGAAAACCCCGCGGGCCAGGCCGTTGGGGCAGCCTGGCAAGCCGCTGGGTGCGGGAGCAAGCCCCTGGCACGACCCCGCTAGAGGAAAGAGAACTATGCACATATACCGATTCTGGCCAGGCCCATCCTGAGCCCAGGATCGGTGCATACGCCCTCCTACCTTGGCCAGGAAGGCATATGCACCGATCCTGGGTCAAGGATGAGCCTTGCAAGGATCGGTGCATGTGCATAGTTCTCTTCGCACAACCCCGCAGGCCTCTAGCTAGCCGCGGCCGCGCCCAGGCGGGAGGCAGCGCGAAGTCCAGTCCTGCTGCGGATTGCTCCGTTTCGGCCTGGGATCTCTCCCGTTCCTCGTCGAGCTTCCGGGGCGCCTCCCCACAGGGAGTTCGGCGCCCCGCGCCCCAGGAACTCGCGCGGCGCTCACGTGCGATGCCTGCTGCACTACGCCGATGACCCGCCTCGGATTCGAACATGAAGCGCGGGTCCTAAAGGGGAGGGGGCTCCCGCTCGAGACTTCCCCACTGTTCACTCCAAGACGAGGCCCCCGCTCGAGGCATTCTGGCGGTTGCCACCTTGGGGGACTCAAATACTATGCCTGCCACAGTGCGCCGTTGACCCGTCTCGGATTCTAACATGAAGCGCGGGCCCCATAGAGAGGGGATTCCCGCTCGAGACGTTACTATTCCCTCACGCACGAGGCTCCCGCTCGAGACTTCCTCAAGATGCCCGTGTGAGTGACTGAGTGAGTGAGTGAGCGCGCGATGAAGATTATGATGATGATCGCGATGATGATGATGATGATGATGATGATGATGATGATGATGATGATGATGATGATGGTGATGGTGATGATGATGATGATGATGATGGTGATGATGATGGTGATGATGATGGTAAGTATGATGATGGTGATGATTATGATGATGATGATGCTGATGCTGATGATGGTGATGATGCTGATAGTGATGGTGATGGTGATGCTGATGATGATGATGATGACTATGATCATTATAATGGTGATCATGATGATGATGATGATGATGATGATGATGATGATGATGATGATGATGACGATGATGATGATGATGATGATAAATGTGTGGGGATGTTCATGCTTCTGTTCTTGCCTGGGGGTTGACGACAAAACAACAAACCCCCAACTGAGGATGCGGGGGGGCACATAATATATAACTACATGGATCGATACGTACACGCGTATGTTTGTAATTGTGCGCCCCGGCGGCGGTCATGCGCGGGAGCCCCGCGACCACTTTGCACTCTGATTTGACAAGAATGATAAGGGGGGTGCCCGAACACGCGCGGCGCACCTCGCGGGCGTCGCGCACCTGGCTGGCGTCTGCACTGGTTCCCGCGCATGGTCGCTGGCGGCCCATGCCCATGGTGAAATTCGAGTGCTACTTATGTGGTGCATGGCGGGTGGGAATGAGCGAAACGGCCGTCCTACGGCGGAGGTGTCTCCCCCCTACCACACACATTGAACCTGTAGGGAGGGGCCGCGGTCGACAAATCGCCCAAGGAGTTGTAAGGCCTCCGCGAGAAGACAAGCCTTATGAGTTTCCCAAAAAGTTATGGGCCAATGTTGGTTTCCGGGGGAGGACGCTAAGTAGCACCCCCCTCTTCTTTGATCGATCTCCTCGGAGATGGCCCCAAGATGGCCCCCAAGGCTCCCAAGAGTGCGGCAAGAGGGCCCCAAGAGTCGTGGCCGACCTTTGCTGTAAAAGAAACGGCGCGATTTCCATTATGAGAGCGAGAGAGTGGGAGGATGAGAGAGGGAGAGAAAGGAAGAGAGAGAGAGAGAGAAAGAGAGAGAGAGAGAGAGAATCACAAAAAGGGAGAACAGCAAGAAGAGGATGCGAGAGGGAGAGAAAGACAAGGAGAGAGAGAGAGAAGGAGGATGAGAGAGAGCGAGACAGAAACAGACACATACACACGAAAATCGCAACATGACGGAGAATGATAATCAGATCGCATGCAGGCAATAGTATGCAGCGGAACCTACCCAACCCAACCAAAGTGTCTGCAGGTCACGGACTACAGGTACGGGTCGCGCTCAACGTGAACTTGCTGACCTGAGTACACACACGAAGGCAGAATGAGGCAGGGAAGGAAAGTGGACAGGGTAGAGGAGGTGGAAGGCGGAAGCGAGAACGGGGGAAGGATGGTCGGTTCGGCTCACACTCACCATCTGATTCCAATCATGACCGGAATGTGAACAAGAACTGTACTGGAGGGATGATACGGAGATGGGCCAGAGAGGAGGATGGAGCACAAGTAGAGGAAGGAGAATGGAGGTGACAGTCACGACGGCATAAGAGGGCGTCGAGCCAACACTTCTGACCCAGGGGGAGAATGGAGGAGGGCAAAGAATTCAGCAAGGATGGTAACAAGAGAAGCAGGCGCATAAGCAGCAGCCGCCGACGCCGACAACGACGAGGACAACGGCGACGTCGACGATAACGCCGACGACGAAAGCGACGGCAACGCCGACGGCGAAGAACACGCAAATCGCGACGAGGCCAATAAAGATGATGACGAAGCCGACGACATCACTGCGAAACCGCCGAAGACGCCGGCGACCCCGACGACGACGCCGACGGTAACTGCGACGAACCCGGTGCCGACGACGCCATTGCCAACGACAACGCTGACGCTGACGACGACGCCGATGCTGACCACGACGACAACGCCAGCAGCGAGGCCGCTAATGACGACGACGACGACGGCCGCAACGCCGGCCGCGACTGCGACGGTGGCACCGGCAAGCCCAGCGGCGGCGACGACGCTGGCGGCGGCGGCGAGGCGGCGCCTGCCGAGAAAGCGCGCTTGAACGCCCTGCTGGGGGAGACAAAAAAGGTTACCGATACAGCCCTCGTGCCACCATGAGGAGCGCAGAACGAGGAGGAGGGTTCCCCGACACACGGACAAAGGAAAGCGCGCGTAGCGTCGCGATCCGTTAGTTGGGGGAACTTACACGGGGGGAGTTGGAGGAGGGGCTTGGCAGGACCCGCCCCAAATCTAATCGCTCAAATGTCAGCCATGTTCTGCCCAAGATGGCCCAAGACGGCCCCAAGAACGCACAAAAGGACCCCAAGACGGCCCCAGAGGACCCCATGGCGGCCTAACATACCTCCAGGACGGCCTCAGGGAACGGCCAAAGAGCGTCCAAAGCGAGCCCAAGACGGCCTCAAGACGGCCAGAGAGACCCTCAAAACGCGTCTTCTTCCTGCAGGAAGGCGCACATGTTTAGCACACTCGCTTCTCTGGTCCGAACAGCGTCAAAGCCAGCCCAGGAGGCACCCAGAGACCGCCCCAAGAGGGCCCCTAAAGGCCCCCAGGACCGCCCCAAGACGGCTTAAGTGGGCTCCAACACGGCCCAAGAGAGTCCTAAGAAACCCAAGAGAGGCCCCCGAGGGTCCCAAAAGGTTCCCAAGCGAGCCGGCCCCGAGAGGGCCCCAGGACCGCCCAAGCATCCCAAGACAGCCCAAGAGGGCCCCAGGATGGCCCAAGAGGGCGCCAAGACTGCCCCAAAGAGCCCCAAAAGGACCCCCAGGAAGGCCTGGCAATTCAACATTCATTCATTTGTCCAAGGCATAAGGCTAGATTGTTGCATGTCGTGCCAAAGCCTTAACACCAGCAGGGCTCCAAGACACTAAGCCAGCGATCTCACGCCCTCACGAAGTACACGCGATGTCCGTCCCCGGGCCAATCAGGTCTACGAGCCCAGAGTGGTTCTTATCTCAAGGCCTTGCCTGCACTCGCCAGACCTCTCCAAAGGCTCATCCTGGCCAGGATTTCCGAGCGGATCCAGCCGTGACGACGAGGACTCTCCAGGACGGGTGGCGGTATCTGGGAGACTAAGAGGTTAGTCTCAACACCAATGTCGGCGGTCGTCTCCACCGAAAGAAGATAATCCAGACCTCGGCGATGGTGGCAATATTCAAGTTTCTCAGGTTTTCTGGAAGGTCAATTACGACCAACACCACAATTTAGCTGGGATCATCATTTTCCCCCGATGGAGACACACACACACACCCTGTGTCGGTTTTGGTGCCAATTTCCAAGACGGGCAGCGGCACCGGCGTCTGCCAGGCGCGAATTTATCCATAACCAACGTCGGGGATCTCCTGACCCGGGTCAATCCAGACCCGGGTCAGCCAGGCCTTGCAACATCATGCAAGATCCTGCGAAGGATCCTGGTCCATGGGCCTTGCACCCAGGCCCGAGTCCATGCGAAGGACCCTGCAAGATCCTGCAGGATCCTGCACCCAAAGCCTGGGGCAGTGCGACTCTGGCCCCTGCAGGCTCGTGCAAGATCGGGCGCTCTGGCTGACCCCCGCTTGCATCGACCCCCGCCGCAGGGCTCCCGACAGCGCCGCCTCGGTGGAGGGCTCTCTCCCTGGAGGCCCGGCGGGGCCGCGGAGTACACCCGAGACCCCGCAGAGCTCCTGGCCGGGGGGGCCTGCGCGAACTGCGCAGCTGCCACCACTGTCGTGGGCTCCCGGGAGGCCCAGGGGAGGCGCGGAGCACCCGAGACCTCGCAGAGCTCCCTTGGGGGCTGCGCGAACTGCGCAACTGTCACCGCTGTCGTGGACTCCCTGGGGGCCCATCGGAGTCGGGGCCACGCGCACCCATTTGAGACCTCACTGCTCCCCCGTATGCTGCAAACTGCGCAATTGTCGCCACTCTCGTTGGCCCCTGGGATGTCCAGCGGAGTCGGGGGCCACGCGGATCCAGCCGAGACCTCGCGGCTCCCATGGAAGCTAGAAGTGCGCAAATGTTTCCACTCTCGTGGGCTCGTATGAGGCACGGCGGAGATGAGGGCAGCGCAGGCCATGCGTGTCCGGCGACGTGTTCTTTTTGCGCGGAGCGTTCATACACGGATTCGCCTCGCGTGGAGAAGGGGTTGGGTGCGTCTCGGGTACTGTTCCTGCACTGGGATATGCATGCGGAGAGCGCTGCTCGCTCCCCCAAAATGTCGTCACGCTTGTCCCGCCCTGGGGCGTTTAAAAAGCCATGCGATTTCACGCTGGTCCCGCAGTGGGGCGTCAGGAGCCCATCTCGGTTTCACGCTTGTCCCGCCCTGAAGCGTTAGGAACCATGCGTTTCCACGCTTGTCCCAATCTGGGGCGTTAGGCGCCAGGAACCAACGTGTTTTCAGGTTTCTCCGGCCCTCGGGAGTTGAACACGAAGGAGTCGAGAACCAGGAGTGAAGCAATAGATGCACACATAATATGTATGGGCATGTACGTAGCACACAAAAAGGATTCGAGCCCCAGGAGAAGGACAATGGATTGGAATAAACGTAAAGCACTAAGGATTCGATCCCCAGGAGAGGAGCAATCTATAGGACAAAGCAAGTGTTTCGCTCGAGACATACTCATCACACTATGCAAACGAAGCGTTTCGCTCGAGACATCAGCAACAAACGAACATGTGTACTTTACCCTGTGTTCTATCGATCGGAATTTTAACAACCAGCGCTTCGCTCGTGACATCCTCAACGTGTTAAGAAACTAAGCGACCTCGTTAGTTATATCAGAAACGAGTCCGCCAACCCTACGCAAGTCGAGGCCAGGGGTAACCCTCAAACAAAAAAAACTTCAGGACGGACCAACTTCCGGGGATAGACATGTCTGATTGGGGGGGGGTCAGATCTGAGCCGTCTTTGGGGGGCTCTGGTGGTCTGGGCAGAAGGCCGCCATTTCATGGCTGGTCTGGGGGGGCCTATCCGAGCGGGTGGGGTGGAGGCAACGGCAGCTCAGAATCGATCCTCGGACCCCTCCCGGGGTCCAGATGCACCAGTTGTCCAAGCTGCGCCCAGCCGTGCCACGAGGGCCCCCCCAGAAGGCCCACTACCGCTGTCTCCACTCGCCCTCCACCGAGTCCAAAACTGCCCCTGCATCGTGGCATGTGGCACACCTTTCCGTTGGCGGGGCTCTGCGAGGGCGCTCGTCTTGGCCCCTGCCAGGCGTCGGGTGGTGGCGCAGGCAAGGGATCGGCACCCGAACTGATTTCGAGCTCCTGTCTCGCGGCCCTTCCTTCTGCGTCACAGCAGGGCGCTCCTTCTTCCTGATCGCAGTCGTGAGATGTTCCGCTCTCTCGTCCCCCTCTTCGTAGCTGCCGAAGAGATGACAATCGCCCGCTGAGTCGCTATTCTGCCCACGCGTCCTTGCAGGTGGTTGGCTCTGTGGTGGTGAAGAATTGGAGGCGGCCAGGAGGTCTGAACTAGCTGGGGCCCCAGGAACTCTGACAGGAGGGGGGGGTGAAGGCAAACTCGTTCAAAATGCATATCCCCGGATCCCCCCTGGGGTCCATCTGGTACAGCAGTTCACCTTGGATCAATTTTTTCACGACCCGAAAACAGCCTACAGAGGCCGAAGAAGGCAACATGGTCAACCCACGCACCCGGAAAGGGATTTAGAACTGCGAGGCATGGGAACGCTTCCAAGTCCCTCAACTGGGCGACGGGCAGCTGCGCCGCGCTGCACAGGGACGTGCCAGCGGACGCCCCACGGAACGTGCCAGTGGACGTGCCATGGGAACCGCCGCGCGATGTGCGAGGGGGGCGCGCCACGGAACGTGCCAAGGGGACGCGCCATGGAACGTGCCAGCGGACGTGCCAGGGTGCGCGCCAGGGGACGCGCCACGGGATGTGCCAGGGGAACGTGCCCGAGGGCCACGATCACTCGGCAATTCCGCTGCGTCCGCGCTCCCAGGGCCAAGACCCTTCCGGGGCATTAAAAACCCACGTGTTTGCACGCGTGTCCCGCTCGGGGGCGTCAGAAACCCACGCGGTGCCACGCATGTGCCGCTCTGGGGCGCCGGGGGCCCACGTGTTCTCACGTCTGTCCCGCTGGGCGGCGTCAGGAACCCACGCGGCGCCACGCTTGCCCCGCTCTGGGGCGCTAGGAACCCACTTGCTTTCATGGTTTTCCCGCCCTTGGGCGTGAGGAGCCTCAAAAATTGTCACGCTTTTCCCGCTCTGGGGCGTTAGGAACCCATGTGTTCCGCGCTTGCCCCGCAGGAACCGAGGTCTGTTCACTCTTATCCCGCTCTGGGGCGTTAGGAACCCACGTGGTTCCAGGCTTGTCCAGCCCTGGGGCGTTAGTAGCGTATGTGTTTTAACGTGTCCAGGCCACCCAAAGACGGACATCTAACATGTGGGTCGTGGACCCATCCGTTGCCTGGACACGTCAAAACACGTGCTTCCATCTCGGGACAACCGTGTTAGATACTCCCTGCCTCCTCACACACGAGGCTCTGGGACGATACATCATCTGATGTTTGTTTGCCCCCCGACGAGGTCCCCCGCTCGAGACCGTCTACCAAAACTCTGCAAACTAGCGTGTGGCCTGAGACATCCTCAACAACTCATCTTGTGCTTCCTACGCGACCTCGTTATTCAAAGCAAATGTGCTCCACCAGCCCTACGCAAGGTGAGCACCGGTGACAAGATACCATCGTAAAAGAGAAACCTTGACCCACGCCTCTTCCGGGAAAAAATCCCCCTGAACCCAAAATCTCGGACCGCGCTCACTCTTCCCGCTGGCCAGAACAAGTGCTGGGACCCCGCAGACTCCCAGACAGCTTAATCGACACTAGTCCACGCCAAATTGACGCCAGCCGACGCTACAGCGGCGCTGTCTCATCGTTTGACCAGACGCCAGCGCACGCCAGTGCACTCTTGACACGGAGTTGCGAGGACATACAGGGCTCCTCCAATGTGTTGCTACCGAAGATTGCGTCCAGAGCTTCCAGGTGTTCCCTACATCCAGCGAAATCTGAACGAAATCACTAAAACTGCAAGGAGCCTTGGGAACCTCTGAGGCTCCCATGAAGGAGCTAACAGTGGTGGTGCAGCGCCTTTTCCTCCCCCGACCTGCGCCCAGCCCTTTACTCCACTGCATGCCTCCACATCCCTGATCAGGGCAACTCGTCTGGGCATCGTTTCTGGATGGGCTGGTGGGGGTACGCAAAGCATCTAAAAATTTGGGACCCTCTGAGGCTCCCATGGAGGAGCACACCATGGTGGTGAAAAGCTTTTTTCCTCCCGGGAGCCAAGTCGAAGAAGTCGGAAATCGGCAGCCAAGTCGGCAGAAATCGGCAGGCTAGTAGGCTTCCATTGATAAATCGGAATCCAAACCAGAATCCGAAATCGAATCGAATCGGAATCGGAGGCGATCGAAACAGAATCAAATCGAATCGGAAAAATCGAAACGAGCCCCGTGGTCGAGAGCCTTTCTGGGGAAACCAACAGGTACCGATACCGCTACTCCCAAGACCTCTCCCGGGATACGTTCTGACCTGGATTTCGGGGCGAATCCGGCGGTGGCGACGAGGGCCTCCCAGGAGGCCCCAAAAAACGAAACGAGGGAAGGGTAGCAGTATGGGTACAGTTTTTTCCTCTGAGGAAAAACTTTTCTCCCCCCGACCAGGAGGGGGAGAAAATGGGGACCATGACCAAGACTGGACTCGGAAAAGTCGTGGTGTCGATGTTGGTCACCGTCCATCTTGCTCAGCGTCGGTTCGTGGATCATCCTCGCGAATCTGCGACGGCCGACGTGGACCAGGACCAAGATCGGCATCGGCAAGACCCCGCGACATCTGGGTCATGGTCACCGTTGTTCTTCCCTCGGCGACCTGCGGTTGCGCTCCACCCCGAACACGAAGCGCAGCAGCCGCGCGGCGGCCAGCTGCACGCGCCGCGCCGGCCTGGCGGCCGCGCAGGGCTCATAGCTCATAGTTGTGTGCAAGGTTGCGCTGGTCTCCATACATCGCATCTTATCTCGTGGGCTCTGCGCAAAACGCTCCGCATCCTGTTTTTCACGCGGGGGGAACGTGTGCCTGCGGACCCCGTCATGTATCGAGGGTCCGAGGTAAGGGGACACATTTTCCTCAAGCGGGCACGCGCGAAACGCATCTTGTTTCGATCGGAAATTCGCCAGCCATACGCAGGTCGTCCCCGAGGGGGGAGGGGAACCTCTAAAGAGAACCCTGGGCCTGTGCCCTTTCAGGGAACATGATCGAACCACGGACCCGGAAAGGAATATAGAAATGTAAGGCATGGCAGCGTTTCAAAGACACCTGATTGGGCGACGGGCGAATGCAATGCTGAATGTATCGATCTTGATGTACTGTGCCGAGGGCTGTGCTGAGCTACGCCGTGCTGAACTTCGATGTGCCATGCCGCGATGTTGCTCTATATAGCGTTGTGGATCGAGTCCTCCCTGGCATCCGAGTCCTGACCGAACTGATCTGGATCTTAAGCTCGAGCTGCCTGAGCAGATGGTAGCTGCCCCAAAACTAATCGACAGAGGGGACATGCCAGGACGACGCGCCGCGGAACGTCCCAAGGGACGCGCCAGGCGACGTGCCAGGGGACGTGCCATGGGCACGCACCGCGGGACGTGCCAAGGGGACGCGCTACGGAACGTGCCAACGGACGTGCACCGCGCGACGTGCCAGGGGGACTCGCCACGGGACGCTCCGCGGAACGTGCCAGGCAACATGCCAGGCTGCAATGCAAGGGCATCGATATTGATGTACCGTGCCGAGGGCTGTGCTGTGCCTGGGAGACCTGGACACGTGAAAACTCGCGTTTCGCTCAAGACGTTCTCAGCACATCCTCATGCTAGACATCCGCCTGGACACCCTGGAAACGTGCAAACAAGCGTCTCGATCGAGACTTCCTCGGCACCGCCTCATGCTAGACATCCGCATGGGCGACCTGGACACGTGAAAAAAAGCCTCTGGTTCGAGACATCCTCAACAAATCCTTATGCTAGACATCTGTCTGGGCAACCTGGAGGCGTGAAACTAAGCGTCTCGCTCGAGACATCCTCAAGACCTGGGCACGTGAAAACAAGCATTTCACTTCAGAGATCCTCTGAATTCAGGTCCCCAGGAGAGGACAATCTATTCTATAACACAAAACAAGCGTTTCGCTCGAGACATCCTCAACACATTCTGAAAAACAATCGTTTCTCTCGAGAAATCCTCAACAATAAATTCGCCGGCCCTACGCGACCTCGTTATTGTTCGCAAAATAATTTCCCCGGCCCTACAGCCGTCAGAACCAGGGGTAAACACACTGAAAGAGAACCCTGGGCCTAAGCATTTTCCGGGAAAAAGGGGGAGGCGAAGCAGTGCGCTTCGGCGACGCAGTCCGAAGTCACACGCGAGGCACAGCGGGAGAGCGGCAGCGGGAGCCAACCGAGGGCGAGAACAGAGACAGCGAGGGATGCGCGGGCAAACCAGGGGGCCCAGGGGAGAAGCGGCGAGCGGGCAAGCGGACCAAGCGCAAAGGGGGGGGTGAGGCAAAAGCGCCACCGAGGCACACACACACACATACATGCGCCCATACACACATATCGATAAACAGATGCATCTAGATACAACTCTCTCTCTCTCTCTCTCTATATATATATATGCATATATACACACTCTGCTTGGCATCGTCACCCTGCGCGCGGCGACAGTGCGTAGAAGCACACACACACAAACACACACACACACACACACACACAAACACACACACACACACGCGCGCAAACTTGTTCCCAAACGTCCTGTGGTGTTGGCCCATGCCTCGCGGTCCTTCTCCTCCTCCTCCTCCTCCTCCTCCTCGCCCCTCCTCCTTCCCTGTCTCTGCCCTCACCCTGTCCACCATGTCAGCGCACCCAGTGCAGAGCTTCGTGGACCCCTACGGAGCTCCACCGACGGCCCCAGTGGCTGTGACAACATGCCTCCCCGCCACCCATGTCGGCACACCCCTCACACGCTTCGTGGCCCCATGGGGAGCTCCACCGAGGGCCCCAGTGGCTGTGACCACATGCGTCCCTGCCACCTTTTTCGGCACACGCCTCACAAATTTCGTGGCCCCATGGGGAGCTCCACCGAAGACGCACCACTGCGGTGCTCACGACTGCACATGGTGCGCGCGGCGACAGGGCGGAGACGGTCGAAGAGCAGAAGACGCGCGCGCGCGGCCAGTGAAGCCCGAGCCCTCCGAGACCACCGCACAAACACACACACACACATAACATGATCGACCCACGAACCCGGAAAGGAATATAGAACTGTAACACATGGCAGCGTTTTCAAAGACACCTGATTGGGTGACGGGCAAATGCAATGCTGAGTGTATCGATCTTGATGTACCCTGCCAAGGGCTGTGCTGTGCTGCGCCGTGCTGAATTGCGATGTGCCATGGCGCGACTGCGCTCTATAGCGTCGTGGATCGAGTCCTCCTTTGCATCCGAGTTCTGACCGAACTGATCTGGATCTTAAGCTCGAGCTGCCTGAACACATAGTAGCTGCCCCAGAGCTAATGGACAGGGGAACATGCCAGGAGGACGCGCCGCGAAACGTCCCAAGGGATGCGCCAGGCGACGTGCCAGGGGACGCGCCATGGGGTCGCACCGTAGGACGTGCCAAAGGGACGCGCTACGGAACGTGCCAATGGATGTGCCACGGAATGTGCCAGGGGACGCGCCACGCGACGTGCCAGGGGGACTCGCCAAGGGACGCCCCACGGAACGTGCCAAGGAACGTGCCAAGTTGCAATGCTGAGTGTATCGATCTTGATGTACCCTGCCGAGGGCTGTGCTGTGCTGCACCGTGCTGAATTGCGATGTGCCATGCCGCGGTTGTGCTCTATAGCGTCGTGGATCGAGTCCTCCTTTGCATCCGAGTCCTGACCGAACTGATCTGGATCTTAAGCTCGAGCTGCCTGAACACATAGTAGCTGCCCCAGAGCTAATTGACAAGGGGAACATGCCAGGAGGACGCGCCGCGAAACGTCCCAAGGGATGCGCCAGGCGACGTGCCAGGGGACGTGCCATGGGGTCGCAACGCGGGACGTGCCAAGGGGACGCGCTACTGAACGTGCTGGGGACAAGCGTTTCGCTCGAGACATCCTATCACAATCATCCGAATTCCTACGCGCGGGACGCGGCACGCGCGAGACATCCTCGGAATTCCTGCGAGCGGGACACGAAAACAAGCATTGCGCCTGAGATATCCTCTGAATTCTGGCCCCCCACGAGGCCCCCGCTCGAGACATCCCCCAATTTTGCTAAAACCAGCGTTTCGCACGAGACATCCTCAACAAATTATGAAAAACAAGCGTTTCGCTTGAGAAATCCTGTCAAAACCCAAAGAAATCAAATTCCTGCGTGCGGGACGCGGCACGCGCGAGACATCCTCGGAATTCCTGCGCGAGGAGCGCTTTTCCGTGTCGCGGTCGGCTCTGCAAAACCAGCGTTTCGCTCGAGACATCCTCAACAAATTCTGAAACCAAGCGTTTCGCTCGAGACATCCCCAACTCTGCAAAACCAGCGTTTCGCTCGAGACATCCTCAACAAATTTTGAAAAACAAGCGTTTCGCTCGAGACATCCTCAAACATAATTTCGCCGGCCCTACTCCGTGCGTGCCCGCTCGCAAAATAATTTCGCCGGCCCAAGTCGCAGGGGGGCCGGGGGGTTAACCTACTAAAAGAGAACCCTGGGCCCGCGCCCTTTCCGGGAAAAACACACACACACACACACATAAACACACACAAACGCACAAACACACACATACACACACACACATAAACACACACACACACACCCACACACACGCACACACGCACTCACACCCACGCGCACACTGATCAACTCCCGGGCCGGCTGATACAACACGGCGCGCTCTGGAGCTGAGCATGCGCGGCACGGCCAGGCGCACTGCACGCGCACGCGCAGCACGCCTGCTCCGCCCGCTCGGCTCGCCGCCCGGGGGGGCATCGGCCGCGCTCCTCGGCGGGTGGGCGGGGGGGAGGCGTCGAGGAGGGCACCGGCTCGGGGGTGCCACGGCCCACGGGGAGGGAGCGGTCGGAGGAGCGGGGGGGGACCGTGACCGGCGACGCCCAGGAGGATGAGGGCCTTTTGCCCCCAGTCTGGACGCCCGAACGGGGCACGGAGAGCATGGGCACAATGCCCCACAAGGGATGTTGTCCCAAACCAACAGCGGCCGCTGTTGGGCAGGCGGCCCTCTGTCTCAACTGGACACAGGCCGCGGCGGCGCGGACAGCGAGTCCGGTTCCAAAATGCACAGGGGCAGGGACTGCTGTTGAGCATTTTACCCACTCTCTCCGTACCAGCTTCGCTCGTGCAGACCCAGGCAGGGGTGGCGAGCCCGGCCAGGGCACGCCGGCATGGCGAAAAGATGAAGTCGCCCGTCGTCCGGGTCGGCCAGCCAGGCCCTGGGGGAGGCAGGAACTTGCCGGCCCAACGGGCCAGGGGCGTGCCTAGATCTCCGGCTGCACGCTTAGAATTTCTAGGTCGCGCGCGCGTGGCGGCCCCTTGGAATCCTAACGAGAAAAACCCCGGCGGAAACCCGGGAGACTCCTGGCAAACTCCTGGCAAGGTCCGCACGGTAGCCCTGAGCGCCCCAGACGCCCCCCAGACAGTCCAAGAGGCTCCGAGTCCAAGAGGCTCCGAGTCCAAGAGGCTCCAAGACGCCCAAGATGGCTTCCAAGAGGTCCCGAGAGAGCTTCAAGAGGCCCCCCAAGAGGGCCCCAAGAAGAACAGATCGCCCCACTTTCAGCAGGAAAACGCACAAAAGTCGAATTCTTGAGGTTGCACAACATTCCACGCTGCCCAAGTGGCCCTCAAAACCGCCCCAAGACGGCCCAACATGCCCAAGATGAGCCCAAAACGGCCCTAACGCGCTGAACGACAGCCCAAAACGGCTCCTCATGACGGCTCCAGAGGCTCCCAGGAGACCCCAAGAGCGGCACTCCGAGCTGCCATGTCGGGCCCTTTCCTGCGAGATCGCTCACAAGACCGCCAGCAGGGCTCCGAGAAGCTCCCAGAGGACCCCAAAATGCTACCCCAAGAAGCTAGCTCCCAAGAGGCCTCCAAAACAAACCCACGAAACCTCAAAAACATATGGACGACCTCCCTGCGGCTCCGCCCTCCACACGAACACTCGGCATATTTCCGGCAACGATGCGACAATATGGCTGCCGGAATGAACGAAGCGAGTAATCAGAATGATGCGATTAATCAGAAGAACATGAGAACAATAACAACAACCAGAAGAAGAAGCTGCATGGAGACGCGCAGCTCATTCGACTGTCACCAACTCTCGCGAGATGCATGGGGCCCACAACGGCCAGAGTGGGGGGGAGCGGAGGAAGAGGGAGAAGAGGGACGGCGAGGACGAGGGTGGGAGGGGGCGGGAGGGAGAGGAGGAGAGACGAGGAGGGGGGACGAGGAGGGAACGAGGGACAGAAGGAGGGAGTGGGAGGAGTTACGAGGAATGCGAGGAGGAAAGAGGTAGAGGGGGAGGAAAGGAGGTGCGGACGGGAAGACTGCCCTGGACATGAGCACAGAGTTTGGTGAGATTCTAGCACTCCTCGCGACATGTGGCCTGTCCGCTGGGGCCTGCCCTTGGTCCGTCTCGGGCGAAGTTGAAGCCACTTGATAGAGACGATGATAAGATTCGATCAGATCTGTGGTAGTATCCCGAAGGGGGCCCTCTTCTAACTGGCAGCTACGGAGAAAACAAATACTGAATATGAATAATGGAGGCGCCGCGGCCGTTTCAGAGCGCCCTGTGACGCAGCGGCAAAAGTGGCGGCATTCAAAACAATGGTTTGGAAAGTGTTAGTTTTTGCGTCAGCGCTTCTTTGCCCCAAGGGGGGCGATGTTGGAGACCTCTCGTGACATCTTAGGGCCCTCTCTGGTCATATCAACTCTGCCGCGGGGCAGTCTTGGGGCTTGAGGCGATCCTGGGGCCAGTTTTGGGCCGTCTCGGGGTCCATGTTGGAGGCGTTCGGACCACCCTGGAGCTGCCCGAGGGCCGTGCTGAAACCATCTCGAGGTGGTCCCCCCGGGACCGGTTTGAAATCGACCCCCCGGACCCATCCTGTGGTGCGTTCTGACCTGAACTTCCACGGGTATCCATCCGTGAGACGGTAGAGCCCCCCCCCAAGAGGCCCCGAGAAGACCGAAAACCACTCGCAACCAACCCAAGGCCGTCGTGGGGCGGCCATTTGGGGGCCCTGGGTTCCCAAAGCCTCGGCAGCGCGTCCCCATTATGAACCCGATCCGCGCGCGCGCACTGGCGGCGCGGGGGTCCTCCAGGGCTCCTCCAACAGCAGACCAGCCGCAGCCTCCAGGGGGGGGGGGTGCCTTCCCCCTGCTTCTCGGCATCTTCGTCTTGTCCTCGTGTTACTCGCCCCCTCGGCGCCCTCCTCGTGGTCCTTGACGCCCTCCGCCTCCCCTCCTCCCCCCCTTGAAGCAGCACGTCTCAACAAAAAGTCAAACCAACTGCTCGGGTTGAAACTGCTTCCAAAGACGGGGTGACGCCCAAAAATAAGGATGCTGAAGAACTCATGCCAGTCCGTACGCCGAGCTGGTTCGGCCGACACTGAAGAATTCTTCGGAGTGCTGAGGAAACCCTAGAAATCCCCAGTGGTCCTTACGAGCCCTTTAATCGAATGGACCTAAGAAATCATTAGGGATGCTTGATTTTCTCAGGAATGCGTGGGGGTGCTTAGGATATGCCCACAAGCAGTCCACAGGAGTTCCTAGCAACTCACAGGAACTACCCAACACCCTTTGGAATTACTTGGAATCGTACAATGCGTAGGCATGCCCAGGAAGGCATGCGAATCCATACGCCGATCCCGTTCGCATTCCCCCTACACGCCCCCTGAGGAATCCTTCGGAATATTGAAGAATCATATGGCATTCCGAATGATCCTTGTGGGTTCCTGGATCCTCTTAGTAGACCTAGGGAGCCCACAAAGATCCTGAGTGTTCTCAAGAATCCATATGGTAAGAATGCCCACGAAATACGGGGGGTTTTGAGATATCCTCGGGGACACGGAAGAATTGCAAACATTTCAACGGGCTCCCTAAGAGCTCTACGGAACCGTAGGAATGGCACGTTTCACGGGCGCTTGCCTTGGGAACATTCGGCGGCGCGTTTCGAACTGGGGGGGAACGCCCCCCCAACCAGGTTAGGGGAAGGGGACTTCCCTCCCCCCTAAACCCCCCCGTCCCCCAACCCCCACACCCTGGGAAAAGAACAGGAAATTCTGTTTAAATCCCTCAATAGTTTCTCCTCCGGCTTCCCGGAAGGGGGGTTCGAACCCTCCCCCCTCGGTGCCGGTGCTGGCGCCTGCGCTGGCGGCGGCCGGCAGCAACAACGGCGGGGATGCAGCGATGATGACCAGAGAGAGCCCAGAGGCCGCAGCGGGAAAAGACAAACCGCCATATCGAACTCTCGCTCCCCAAACGCGACTGGGAGCCCTGCTGTGCGAGATGTCCTTCTAGTTCAGCCTGTGGTCCCCGAAGGTCGCGTGGTGGCCTTTGTAACTCTGCGGGTGGCTGTAGCAGCTTAGAGGGCACGCCGCCCACTTCGTAGCCCCCGAGGTCCGAGACGGAGTCGCCCGCTGCAAATTCCTAGTGATCCACGTTCTGGGTGCCCCTGCAGCCCTGGCAGTCGTCGTAGCCCTGCGGCCCGTCGTAGCCCAGGTCGCTGTCGAACAAACAAAAGGTCGTAGCCGTACTCGTCGTAGGCGGCGCGATCGTAGTCGACGTCGCCCCAGTACCTCCACGACGCACATAAAAAAACACACACAAAACATTCGGGCTGCTCGGTCGGGGCGTTCCTGGTGTCGGTTTTGGTGGCGAGATCCGGATCGTAGTGGTGGTGGTACTTGTCCTTGGGCTGCACGTTACGCAGCTCATTTGCGTACTTGGGCCAGCTGGTACGCAGTTCGTTTGAGCATTGGGGTCGCCTGTTGCGCAATTCGTGTTCGGACGCTCTCGCGAGGGCGGTCGTCGCAATGCTCATGATGTCATCGGGTCGAAGCTGTATCCCATGCCAGACATTCTACCGCACTCGCTCTTGGGCCGAGTCTGTTAGTGCCCATGTACCTCTATGCGTGTATGGTCTCGGCATCCTTGCCAGTACGTCTCCACAGCTGTGGGTAAATCTTGTAGCCTTGTGGTTCATCGTCTGGTGGTTGATGCTGTGGTCGCGGTATGCCTTGGCTTCCAGTAATCTCGATGTATTTCACGTCGATAGTGATGATGCTCACGCGGGTCGTGAACTGTGTGGTGCCGAACGTACCGCACGGCGCGTCGTCCACCGCGTGGCGGACTGCGCGCTCGGGCCGGCCCCCCCTCCCGCGGGTGGTGGGGAGCATCCCCCCGCAGGGGCCAGAATGGCCCTCCTCATCCTCCTCCATCTCCTCCTCCTTCATCTCCTCCTCCTTCATCTCCTCCTCCTCCTCCTCCTCCTCCTCTTCCTCCTCCTCCTCCTCCTCCTCCTCCTCCGCCTCCTCCTCCTCCTCTCCTCGCCCTCGCCTCCCCCTCCTATTCCGACGACGCCGACGGCGACGGCGACGGCGCCGACGAGGGCGACGACTCCCAGGGCGCCAGGAAGCCGGCGGAGTGGTACTGGCGGATGGCCAGCGCGCACTCGTCGTCCTGCGGGCAAGAAGGCGGGGCAACGATAGGGGGGGACTGGCAAAGGAGGGGAAGCGTCGACCTGGAATCGGCGATACGTCGCCGATGAATCGGCAGCAGGCCCCTATCGGGCACCTATCGGCGGTGGATGGGCGATTGGGGGTCATGGCATCCCCCCTGAGCCTACACTCCTTAACTTTGTCCCGATGTTTGCCAGACATATCTCGGCTCTCCGGCGGCCATTCGGAACGATCCCGGCAACCCGGAACGCTCTCGGCGAGGCGCAGCAGCTGGAAGGCATCCCGAGGCTGGAAAGCCGCCGAGAACCGACGAAAAGCGCAAACAATCCCCAGCCGCTGATGCCTTTCGTCCCCCCAAAACGTTGCCCCTGAAAGCGGCGGGGCCGCGCCGCGCCCCCGCGACCTCTGCAGCCGCGCCCCTCGATCCTCGATCCTCCTCGATCCTCGATCCTCCTCGATCCTCGATCCTCCTCGATCCTCGCTCCTCGATCCTCGATCCTCCTCGATCCTCGATCCTCCTCGATCGATCCTCGATCCTCCTCGATCCTCCATCCTCCTCGATCCTCCTCGATCCTCGATCCTCCTCGATCCTCGACACTCCTCGATCCTCGCTCCTCCTCGATCGATCCTCGACCCTCGAGGGAGGAGGACCGCGGGCGCGCGGGCCGCGCCGCGCTCCCGCGGCCTCTGCGGAGGTGCGGCGGCGCCCGCCGCACCTCCGCAGCGGCCGCGACCGCCGCCCCCGAGGCCCGGCGCGGCTGCGCGGCCCGCCCGGGCTCGGCGACCGCCTCCGCCCTCGACTGCTGAGCTTCGCGCTCGAGTGGGGGCCTGGGAACGGGCACCAGCACCATTCGCCCTGGCTCGGCGACCGCCTCTGCCCTCGACTGCTGAGCTTCGCGCTCGGGTGGGGGCTTGGAGATGGGCACCAGCACCATTCGCGCTCGAGTGGGGGCTTGGAGTTTCGCCCTCGAGTGGGGGCTTGGGAACGGGCACCAACACCATTCGCGCTCGATTGGAGGCTTGGAGCTTCGCGCTCGAGTGGGGGCTTGGGAACGGGCACCAACACCATTCGCGCTCGAGTGGGGGCTTGGAGTTTCGCCCTCGATTGGGGGCTTGGAGCTTCGCGCTCGAGTGGGGGCTTGGGAACGGGGGCACCAACACCAACACGGGGGGGTGCCTCCACCTGGGGAAAAGGATTCCGGATTGTGGTGCCGGTGGTAACCGTTCGGCCACCGAGGGAGCCCGAGCATTACCAACTATGACCGAGATCGGGATCGCCATCCCTCGGTGCAAGCCTGCGACTCGAGGGCAGGGACAGGGATCGAATCGCAGGGCCGGATCGGAGATCGGCTCGTGCGTCGAATCGGACCGCCGCGGGACGGAGTCGAGATCGAACCGGCTCGGCTGCACCAGGAGCGCCAAATGCACGCGTCGGGCCGCATCGGATCGGCGGGAAGTCGAAATCGACTCGGACCGGGTCGGCCGGAATCGAGATCGAATCGCATGGACCCTGCGAGGGTCGAGGGGGAAGGACTCCGAGCGCCTATCTGACCCTCGTCGGACCTCGACTCCTCCTCCCCACTTCCCATATTTCCCTGGGACTCGACCGCCCTCGACTGGTGCAAGGCATACGACCAAGTGAACTTGGCGTCGCTGCCGGGCCTGCTGCGTCGGGCGGGCCTGCCGGACTGGCTCGTCAAGCCGGCGCTCAGTGCATACACAGCCCGCCGGCGCATTCGCATCGGGCGCGCAATTGGCGTGCCGTGGTCGCCCTCCTCCGGGCTCCTCCCAGGGTGCGCCCTAGCAGTGTTCTTCCTCAGCGTCCTGACGCTTCCATGGCACCGGCGTGCGGGGGCCGTGGATGACAGGCTCCGCCGGCGTATCTACGTAGACGACTTCACGCTGTGGATGCGCGCCGGGGCCGAGGAGGCCGGGGAGGCGGCCGAGGCTGTCCAGGGCGCCTTGGTCGTGACGCTGGAGTTCGAGACCGCCATGGGCTGGGAGCTGAACCGGAGGAAAAGCCGGCAGTTCGCCAACACAAGCGAGTTACGACGCTGGCTTGCCGCGCAGACTCCAGCGCTGGCAGCAGGCACCACCATCCGGGACCTGGGGGTGGTCGCCGTCGCAGGCGAGGCCAGGCGCAGTGCCGTGGCGGGGGGCCGGATGGCTGACGCGAGAACCCGCTTTGCCCGCATCGCCAGGCTGCCCGTCAGGTTCGGCCAGCGGTGCCTGCTGGGCGCGGCGGCGGGCACGGCTGCCGGCCTGTACGGCGCGGCGTGCGGGCGCCCGCCAGAGGCCGAGCTGCGGGGGCTCCGCGCGGCAGCGCGGCACGCGGTATGCCGTCGCGGTGGCTTCCGGGCGGCCGCGGAGGTCGTGTTCGGCGTCCTCAGCCCCAGCTGGCGCCTCGACCCGGCTGCCGTGGCGACCATCGCCCCGCTCTGGCACATCGCGAAGGCGATCCGCCGCGGCCGCTTCCCAGCACAGCGGTGGCGCAGCGCGGCCGGCGCCATCGCGGCGGGGCACGGGCGGCAGAATGGGCCGATCTCGGCGGCCGTGCGCAGCCTTGCGGAGCTTCGGCTTGGGCACGACGTCGAAAGCTGGACAGGCGTCCCGGCCGTGCCGGCGGGGTGGCGCCCCGCAGAGCACTCCTTGCAGGAAACGCGAGGCGTGCTCCTGGCCGCCTGGGCCCGCCGCGAAGCAGCCGCAGTTGCCGCCCGCCGCGGCGACATGGGGCACCTCGCTGGCGGGGTGGACCGCTGGGCCACGCGCAGGCTGCTCGAGGAAGGAAAGCTCGCGCCAGACTTGGCGGGCGCGCTGCGCACGGTGCTTGCGGGCGGCGTCGTCACGCAGTCGGTGGCAGCCAAGTGGGGCAAACCGGCGCTGTGCCCCCACTGCCGGGTGGCCGACGAGGATCCAGAGCACCAGTTCTGGCGGTGTCCGTGCTGGCAGGAGGCGCGAGCGACTGCTCTGCGCGGCACCGGGTTTCGCCCGGAAGGCCTCCGCGCGTCCCTGCCGCCGGGAACCGCCTGCACGGGCGTCCTCTCGGAGGACCCGGTCCTCAGCGCTCTGGCCGAGGGCGCCCGCGTGCCCATTCCGCCCCCGCCGCTGCCCGCCGGCCAGCACGACCCGCAGCAGCGCCCGCCACGGCGCCGTGCGTGGACAGACGGCGCCTGCGAGCGGCCGACAGATCCGCTCTTGGCCAGGGCAGGCTGGGGCTTACGGCTCGACGGCCCCAACGGCACCCAGGACTGCAGCGGGCCGGTCGACGGGCCCCAGACGGCGCAGAGGGCGGAACTGACGGCCGCCCTGCATGCTCTGAGCCTCGCCGCGGGCCCCGTGGAGGTGATCACGGACTCCCAGTTCGTCAGCAACGGGGTCGCGGCCCTCCGGGCGGGGGCAAACCCAGCGGAATGGGCGCACGCCGAGGTCTGGGAGCTGCTGGCGCCCTACTGCCAGAGCGGGACCCTCGTCGCGCGATGGATTAAAGGACATCTCGACGCAGCCAGCGCCCGGGCGCGAGGCTTGGCTGACGGAGACCGCTTTGGCAACGCAGCAGCTGACCGGCTCGCGGGCGCAGCCGCGCGCGCGCGGTTCCCGCCGCCCGCCCTGGTCGCCGGGCGGGACAACCGCCTGCGCGCGCTGGGCGTCGCGCAGCGGCTGCTGGCAGAGGTGGAGCTGGCCGCCCTGAAGGTGAACCACGGCAGCGCAGGCGTGGCGCCTCGGGCCCGCAGGCCACCGCGCCGGCGCCGCGGCCGCCGGGGCGTGCTCGGCGCGCAGCCAGGCGCGCAGCCGCAGGGCCCCCCGCCTGCAGCTGCTGCAGCACTGGCGCAGCCCGGCAACGCGCGCGGCAGCGGCGGCAGTGCCCGCTGCGCCGCCCTGTTCGCGGGGCAGGCCTGGCAGCTCCACGCCGCCGCGCAAGGCCCGGCTGGGTGGCCTGCATGCGCTGCGGGGCGTCTGCGCCCACCTGGCCGCGGTTGGCGGCGTCGCCGTGCGCGGGCTGGGCCGCCGCGCTGCCGCCGCGGGCGGCAGCCCTGCTGCTGTTGCCCACGGTCCGGGCTGGCGGGCGCGAGGCCGACTGGCGGGAGGCCATGCGGGCGCGGTGGGTGCAGCGCCCTGGGCCGCCGGATTAATTCGGTGCCCCGGCAGCCCGCGCGCGGGCTGCTTTCCCCCCTTCCCCCCCTCCCTCCCTCCTCCCCCCCGACTGCCGCTTTCTGCCGCTGGGCTTCTTCGATGGGTAAAAAGTGTCTGTGTGTGTTTTTCCTTCCTGACCCATTCCTGTCTCCGCGCCCCATTCTTCTGGAGGCCGTTCCCACGGGCACCACCTCGCGTCCACGGCGCCACCGCCAAGCGCCGAGAGCCCAGGCCCCGGGGTGCAGCGCGGCTACCACTCATGCCGCCTGGTCCAGGAGAACGAATGCCAGCCAGCCGTGCCCCCGGGCACGTCGAAGCGCGGCAGGATGCCGATGCCGAGGGCAGGCTGGTGCGGTTTCTGTGGGCTTGATGAGCCCCCACCCCCGCTCGCCACGTCCCTCTGCATGCACCGCCCCCCCCCAAAAAAAATCACTCGCAAAACACAAAGGCACTGGATCCGCGCTCCCGAGGCCACGATCCTTCATACAAATCTGTAGGCCCGCGCCCCCGAGGCCGCGAGCCCCCACAAGGAACGCTTGGCCCGCGCTCCCGAGGCAACGTTTCATAGCAAAAGCACATGGGTCCGAGCTCCCGAGGCCGCGATCACCCGTAACGAAGATGACCCAAGGTGCCTCCAAGACGGCCCAAGATGGCTGCAACAGAAGCTCAAGATGGCACGTGGACGGTCCAGGAGACCCCCAAGACGGCCCACTGCAAGGGGACCCCTGGTATAACTCGGGCCCCAAGAAGCCAGAGCCATGGATAGTCCTGTAGCTTGTGGGAGATGTTCGCGCCTTCGTTCTCTCTGGTCTCCCTCCAGCTTAAATAAGGGCCACGGAAGGCCGCCGAAGACTGCCGAGACCCACCGAGGGCCGCCGAGGGCCTCCGAAGACCGCCGAAGGCTGCGCGGGACAGAGCCGCGGCAACTGCGAGAGAGGCAACCGGGGGGGGCAAACAAGTGCCGATACCGCTACTCTGAAGTCTGGACGAAAAATGAAAAATAATCAAAACATACCCCTAAACATGGTCAACAGTCGTCCCGAGACTATTGTTTGACTATTCTTGGATATCCCTCCTGTAGAGGGACAGGCCCGACTTAATGCTACTCCTGGGACCTCCCCAGAGTGCGTCCTGGCCAGCATTTGGAGGCGAATCCAGCCGTGCGACGGGGGAAGCACAGCGGCATCGGTATCTCTTCCTCGCCTGAGCAACGGCGGCGACGGCGACGACGACGACGGCAACGACAACGACGACGACTCGCGGCGACTCGCGACGACGACGACGACGACACGGCGCGCGCACGGAAGGCCAGCACAGGCGCTGTCCATGCACATCTGCGCCAGGGCCTCCAGGGCGGCGACCAGCACGTCGGCCTCCCGTCGCGCGCGCGCGCAGACTGGCGTCCCGGAGGTGCAGGGCGAGGGAGGAGGGGGAACACAGGGAGGGCAAGGAGGAGGTTCGGCTCGGCTCGCTCCAACCTCGAAGGCGCGAGTCGCAGCTCACAGCTGCCCGGCGGGTGGCGCTCCGAAGAAAAGCGGCAGCCGAGATGAGGCCGAAGGGACTGAAAGGTTGGGCCACAATAGGCAAGCGCGTTCCGCTACTCGTAAAGTCACTACTCCCAAACGGCCTGGATCCGCCGTGGGGAATCTACGATATATTACATCGGGGCGAACGTGGGTGTTTTGGACGTTTGCGAGTAGGCACTTTGCGAGTAGTGGAACGCGCTCGGTGACTCAGGCGGGCCTCAACACTTGTTCCCGAAAACTGCACGACAAGCCAGACCCCCGACGCCATGATTTTTTCCGGACGTCGACCCTCGGAGGTCTGGACCCCTTCCCCGGGGACCGGCTGTTCATCCTGAGCCGTCTTTTGACTGCCCCGAGGCCCAGGAAGAACCCCCAGAGGCCGAAAAACAAAAAACACACACCCGTCATGATTTTCTCACGTCTGGAGGCTGGTCTGGGAATGTGGCCGCCACGGAGGTTGTCTTCGGGGCTGCCTGGGAGCTTCCGGCTCTGGTTTTTCGGCCTCTGGAGGGGGGAGGGGGCAGGACGGAGGGGGGGGGGGGGGAGTAGCAGCACGCGCAGGAGGTGCCGGAGGGAAAGGAAGAAGAGGTGGGGGGCTCAAGAGGGGAGAACTGCCGGGGGGGGGCGCTCAAAGCAGCGTTTGAACCCCGCCTGGCCCCTGGGAGTTGCAGTGTCGCCCGCCCAGTCCAGAGCAGCGCGAGCCTTTCATGGAGGGATGCAGGAACGGGTGATCGGAGCTGTTGCGCACACAGGGCTGTAGGGCAGGTCATTGACTTCCCTGCGGGACTCTGCCATGCTGTCACCAGGGTTGGTTGGTTGGGACGCGAACGAACAACTGAACTGCTCCTGTCTACGACTCTCGAACCGCAGCAAAACTGCCGCCTCTGCAGCAGCAACAGAGGGCGGGGGGGGGAGGAGGACGACCGAGCGAACCAGGTCAAGCAGGCAGAGCAGACGGCAGCGGACGCGCGAGGAGCAGCAGGAGCTGGACGACGCGGGGGAGGGAGACGGAGGGCGGCCACGACGACGCCAACGACGCCAGCGGCGACCACGGCGACCAGGACGACGACGACCGAAACGACGGCCACCACGATGACCACTCAGACATCCTCCGAGATGTGTATGATCAATCCGCGGCCATGGCAACTCCGCTTCCGATGATCCTATGGGGCCCGCAGGCGGCCCCCGGAGGCCGAGAAGAAGGGAGAACGCCGCGGTCGAAAAACATACCGTCTGAGATCTGAGGGGAAACCCAGAGATACCGATGCCGCTGCTCCCCGAACCTCTCCCGGGGTGCGCCCTGACCAGAATCCCATCAGCCCTTTCGGGCGTGAGTGGCTCGGCGAGCTTGTTCTCCCAACTCCCTCCCCCAGGGAGGTTTACCACAATTCCCTCTTAATGTTAGGTCGGGCCTGTCCCCTACAGGCCGATTTTGGACGAAAGATTAAAAATAGGCAAACAATACCTTAAACTGTTCAAAAATGGTAGAACAATCGTCCCAAGACCATTTTTTACTATGTTCGAATTTCTCCCCCTGTAGAGGGACAGGCCCGACTTCATGTTAATGTCTCCCACCCTCCCCGCCTGCCCAGGAGCGAACATGGATCCATTGCAACCCGCCCACCCTACGAAGTGCACGGTGTGGCAAAATCCGGAGCGCGCGCGGGCGCCAAGAGATTACGTGGCATCGGCACTCAACAGGCGACGAGGAGGGGGTGCCGGCGCACTGCCTGCTGCGCGCAGGCCCACCATCTACACGTACACCTTGGGGCAACAAACAGGAGCGGGCGACGCGCGATCACTCTGCATTCTTTGAAGGGGCACTGGGACACACAAATCAATAGACACAACTAACATGACTCCCCATGTGTTCCCATATCTTCCAGGCTTAGGCCTTCCCCCCCACTTCCCATATTGTCCATATGTGCATGTTGGACGAAAAATAAGAAGTAGTCAAAACAGATTCAAACAATACCCCCAAGTGGTCAAAAAATACCCCCAAGTGAGGTCGCCCCGACCGTCGCCTCCGACACCGACGCTTGCAAACCTCATCCTCCAACCCGCTTCTCCTACGAAAGACCAATCCTCCAACCTCACCCTCATCATCCTCAACCTCGTCCTCATCCTCACCCTCATCATCCTCAACCTCAACCTCATCCTCATCCTCACCCTCTAATCATCCTCCACCTGTGCTTCCTGCAGCCCCATCCTCATCCTCCAACCACCTCAACCGCGGCCGCGACGCCGGCGCCGGCGGCGGCCTGTGCGCCGCCGGGGCCGCCGCGAGCGGCCGCGCGCAGCAGGCCGAGCACCGCGCCCAGCACGCCGTGATCGAGAAGCTCCTCGCCGCGCGCCGCGTCGCCGACGCGCGTTGGCGACGCGGCTCGATGCGGCGCCCGATGCGCGCCACGCCGACGTCGGCCGATGCGTCGCCGAGGCGTCGGCGGTGCGGCGCGATCCACCGGCCCCGCGGATGGGGCGCCCGCTCGCGGGTGCCCCCGCGCGGGCCGCGTGCCCGCGGGGTCGCGCCCCGGAACCCAGACCGCGAGGGCGCGGATGCGGACATGTCCGCCGCCCGTGGCTCGCGATGGGGGCGGCCAGGCGCGGCGCCGCCGGCAGCGCAGGAGGCGACGACGACGGCGGCGTCGACGGCGGGGACAGAGGCGGCGGCGTCGACGACGATGACAGCGACGGCGGCGTCGACGATGACGGCGACAGCTGCGGCGGCGGCGGCGGCGGCGACGGCGGTCACCAGCGGCGGCGATGGCGACGACGAAGCAGGAGACGGCGGCGGAAAGGCCGGCAACGGCCGAGGAGGCTCTGGGACGCCCGAAAAGCCCCGAAGGGGGCGTCTCGGTTTCTGAACGTTCCCGTCGTTTTTGTGTTGTCTTGAGACCGATCGTTTTGAAAGGCTTCGCTGAACATCGTTGCCCACAGCCGCGGTGGTTTGCCCAAGACCATCCTTTGATCTCCCTCCTTCAACCTCGGTGCCCCACCCTTTTTTCCGTTATCCCTCTATCTCTCTGTCTCTGTCTCTTCTCTCTCTCTCTGTCTCTCTCTCTCTCTCTCTCTCTGTCTCTCTCTCTCTCTCTCTCTCTCGTCCTCCTCCTTCTCCCGTTCCTCCTCCTCCTGGGGGCTTAGAAAACTTGGCCAGGCGTTGGTTTTTCTGGTTTTTTTTTCTGGTTTGGGAGCTCCGAAAACCTGGCCAAGCGTTGGTTTTTCTGGTTGTTCTGGTTTGGGAGCTCAGAAAACCTGGCCAGGCGTTGGTTGTTTTGGTTTTTGTGGTCTGGGAGCTCAGAAAACCTGGCCAGGCGTTGGTTGTTCTGGTTTTTCTGGTCTGGGGGCTCAGAAAACGTGGCCAGGCGTTGGTTTGTCTTGTTCTTCTGGTCAGGGAGCCCACAAAACCTGGCCTGGAGGTTGGGGGCTTGCGAACTACTGCCGTCAGACCAGAAAAACAAACAAAAAAAAAACAACGCCTGGCCAAGTTTTCTGAACCCTCAGACCAGAAAAACCAAAACAAAAAAAAAACGCCTGGCCAGGTTTTGTGGGCTCCCAGACCAGAAAAACCAGAAAAAAACGACGCCTGGCCAGGTTCTGTGAGCTCCCAGACCAGAAAAAAACGCCTGGCCAGGTTAGCGGGAGCTTGCAGGCGAGGGCGGGGCGAGGACAATCCTGGCGAGGAAGGGGCGAGGAAGCGGCGAGGAGAGACAGACAACTCGAAGGTTCATCTCAGAACCCGCCAAAAGGTAGATCTTCGGGGGGTGCGACCATGTAGTTCACACCGCGCCCTGTTCCAGTCATCCCTCCTCCTCCTCCCTTCTTCCTCGTTATCTCCCTTCCCCTCCGTTGTCCCCCTTCCTCATTTGTCCCACTTGCGTCGTGCGCCCGTGGTGAATGTGAAGCACAGATGAAGCGCAGCTATTGCACGGAGTATTTTAAGTTACCACCGCCCCCAAACTACAGTTGACGGGAGAGAAGGCGGGGCGTAACGCTCCAGATAACATAGGGGCGAAATGCCCCAGCCAGGTGCGGGGCGAAATGCTCCAGGGGGCGGAATGCCCCACATCACGCAAAGGCGAAATGCTCCAGCCAGATACGGGGCGAAATGCTCCAAGGGGCGTAATGCTCCAGATCACGTAGGGGCGAAATGCTCCAGATCACGTGGGGGCGAGATGCTCCAGCCAGATACGGGGCGAAATGCCCCAGGGGGGCGTAAAGCTCACACCAGTCGGAAGCGAAACAATCCCAGGCAAACAACAGACGAAATGCTCCAGAGGAGCGCAGCACGACTGTTTGATCCTTATCCTGGTCCTCCTCCGCTTCCGCGGTTCGTCCCTCTGCCCTGCTCCGCCCCCTCTTCTTGCCTTCCTATCTCCTTCGCCCCCGCCTTCTCGCCCCTCCTTCCTCATCCACGCCAACTCCGTTTTTTGTGTTGCAACCTATTCTGGCCCGAGCCTGCCTCGACGCAGAACTCGCGGCGCAGCTTCCACGCGCCCACGCGGCAGCAATGCCGATCATGCTCCGCCTCGCCTCCTGGCACGCCGCCAAGGCGCAGCACCCCTTCCTCGACAAGCCCAACGTCGACATGACGGCGGCGGCGGCTCAGTGGGGGGCGGTGTGCGACGGAGTAAGCGGCGTCGCGCCCCGCTTCAACCCGGAGGACCTCTCCTGGGACCTCCGGAACTGCCTCCGCTTCCTGCTCCGCGCGCGGTTCCACTGGGCCTGCGACAAGCAAGAGTTCGACTCCCAGGTGGTCCGCGAGATCGGCGGGGACGTGCGGAGCATGGCCACGGACGCCCCTGCGTCGTGGGCAGCGAGGCTCCTGTAAACAAAAACAACAGCACACACGCACACACCAAAAACTTAACAACGAAAACAACAACACACGCACACACCAAACACCAAAAGTAAGCACAAACCACAACAACATAAACTGCGAGGCTCTTGCATCTCGCCATCCAGACCACGACGCTTCACGGCTCTACCACGGTCGGCTTCTTCTCGGTGACTGGCACCAAGATGTCGTACTGCCACATTGGGGATGTATCCATCCAGGTGTGGCGCAGGTCGGCCCTCACGGGAAGCTACGCGCGCTTCTTCATCACCAGAGACCACCACGTCCGCATCGCCACGGAGTCAGGCGAGGTGATGGGCCCGAAGCAGGTGTCGTTTTTCCCTGGCGTGAACCGGACCGGCGACGACTTGGAGCGCTCCGTGGCGCAGGCCGACTACGGCGTCGTCCAATTGAGCCCGCGTGACGTCATTATATGCTGTTCTGACGGCATCACGGACAACGTCTCGCACGACGCCATGAAGTTCGTGCTCACGCGCGCAGATTCCGACCCGCGGGCCGCGGCCGAGCACATGATCGAGTGCGCGCAGATGCGCAGCGCGCCCAAGCCCGACGACATCTCGATCGCAATCGGCGTCGTCGGGTCCGTGTGAGAGGGCGAAGGCCTTGAAGAATGCCTTCCTCACCCTCATTGTCTCCCGCCTCCTCCACCGCTCTTACCTCAACCTCGCCCTCGTCATCGTCGTCGTCGTCGTCCTCCTCCTCCTCCTCCTCCTCCTCCTCCTCCTCCTCTTCCTCGCCCTCCTCGCCCTCCCCCCGCCTCTTTGCCCCGCTGTCCTTGCACATTGGGAAACAAGGGCCAATGTCGCAACCCGCGCGTGCATCTCGACCGCCAGAGACCCGAACGAGGGCCGCGAGCTCGATAAAGCAGCCGTGCTCGATGAAAAAACACATCGTTGTCATTATTCTTGTCGCTGTCGCCGCGAGACCTTGGATTCCTTCGGTGGAACGGCCACTGCCGCCACCGACGCGCGCGCCCCGACCGCCAGAGACCCGAACGAGAGCCGCGAGCTCGATAAAGCAGCCGTGGTCGATGAAAAAACACATCGTTGTTGGTCTCCGTGGTTTTCTGGTCGCGAGACCTTGGGTTCCTTCGGCGGAACGGCCACTGCGGCCACCGACGCGTGCGCCCCGACCGCCAGAGACCCGAACGAGAGCCGCGAGCTCGATAAAGCAGCCGTGGTCGATGAAAAAACACATCGTTGCTGCTCTCCGTGATTTTCTGGCCGCGACACCTTGGATTCCTTCGGCAAAACGGCCACTGCCGCAACCGACGCGCGCGCCCCGACCGCCAGAGACCCGAACGAGAGCCAAGAGCTCAATAAACCAGCCGTGGTCGATGAAAAAACACATCGTTACAGCCATCCTTTTTGTCTGGCCGCGACACCTTGGATTCCTTCGGCAAACGAGCCACTGCCGCAACCGACGCGTGCATCTCGACCGCCAGAGACCCGAATTAGAGCGACGAGTTCAGTAAAGCAGCCGTGCTTGATGAAAAAACACATCGCTACCGCCCCCCGCGTTTCTCTGGCCGCGACACCTTGGATTCCTTACGCAAACGGTCCACTGCCGCAACCAGCGCGCGCATCCCGACCGCCAGAGACCCGAACGAAAGCCGCGACCTCAGCGAAGCAGCCGTCCTTGATGGAAAAACATATCGTTGTTGCACTCCGTGATTTTCTGGCCGCGAGACCTTGGATTCCTTCGGCAAAGAGGCCACTGCCGCAACCAACGCTGTTGTTTCGACCGCCAGAGGTCCAGAAGAGACCCGCCGGCGAAAACGAGCAGCCGTAGCTGTTGAGAGAACGCATCGTTGCCATTCCCCGCGCCCCCTTCGCCGCCAGACCTTGGATTCCTTGGGCAAGCGAGGCAAGCGCCAGAACCCGCGCGTGCGCCTCCACTGGCCAGAGGTACGATAGATCCCAAACACAAACATTTAGCAGCCGCGGGTGCTGGATCCTGGGCTCCCTCGACAGACGTGCCATTTGGCTCAAGGTGTCCGCCACTCCCGCGGGCAACAAGCGCGCTGACGTGGACCCCCTCCTCCACCAGTGTTCCAAGCGATGGCCGCCCGTGGCGATGCCGCCGTGGCTGCCAACGTGCCCGCCCAGGGCATGAAGTCGCTCGGCGTCCAAATGGGCGTCGAGGGCATGACGAGCGACGTGCTCGTCGGTGCGTGGGATATGGCGAAGGGCATGAAAAGGCGACGCCTCTTGGCAAACCGCAGATAGACGGCACCCTCGACCGCAAGGGGTCGGTGGACGTGTACGACCTGCCCGTCAAGCCTTGGAATGCTCGCGGCAGCGGTTCCACGAAGTCCGTCGTCGACATCGTCACTGATGCCGACGCCGCCGAGATGGCCGCCACGGACTGGGAAAAAGTGAAGGACCTTATGGCGGAAGGCAAATATAAGGAATTGCCTCCGCCGTTGTGCTTCAGCGACCCCGAGGCAGAGCCACCATGTACGATGAATCTCGCTGTCACGCT